TCGAATGTTAAAAATATCGAATCGTCAATACGACGAATGTTCAAAACGTCGAATTATCAATTCGTCGAATGTTAAAAACATCGAATTGTCAATACGTCGAATGTTCAAAACGTCGAATGATAAAAACGTCGAATGCTAAAAACATCGAATCGTCATGTAGTCGAATGCTAAAAATATCGAATCTTCAGTTAATCGAATGCTAAAAACATCCAATTGTTAATTCATCGACTGCTTAAATCATCGAATTTTCCATTCGTCGAATGCTAAAAACGTCGAATGTTCAAAACGTCGAATGCTCAAAACGTCGAATCGTCATTTAGTCGAATGGTAAAACCATCGAATAGTCCATTCGTCGAATGCTTAAATAGTCGAAACGCCATCTGTTCGAATTATCAAGTAGTAAAATAGTAAAGTTGTCGAATGTTCAAAACGTCGAATCGTCATCTGTTCGAATTGCCAAGTAGTAGAATGGTAAAGTAGTCGAATGGACAAAAAGTCGAAACGCCATCTGTTCGAATTATCAAGTAGTATAGAATGGTAAAGTTGTCGAATGTTCAAAACATCGAATCGTCATTTAGTCGAATGCTAAAAACATCGAATCTTCATTTAATCGAATGCTAAAAACATCGAATTCTCAATTCGTCGAATGTTCAAAACGTCGAATGATAAAAACGTCGAATGCTAAAAACATCGAATCGTCAAAAGTTTGAAAAAGTTCTTTGTTTTAAGTTAATGTCTACTGAAGACAAAGAACTTTTTCGAACTTTTGACGATTCGATGTTTTTAGCATTCGACGTTTTTATCATTCGACGTTTTGAACATTCGACGAATTGAGAATTCGATGTTTTTAGCATTCGATTAAATGAAGATTCGATGTTTTTAGCATTTGACTAAATGACGATTCGATGTTTTGAACATTCGACAACTTTACCATTCTACTACTTGATAATTCGAACAGATGGCGTTTCGACTATTTAAGCATTCGACGAATGGACTATTCGATGGTTTTACCATTCGACTAAATGACGATTCGACGTTTTGAGCATTCGACGTTTTGAACATTCAACGTTTTTAACATTCGACGTTTTAAACATTCGATGTTTTGAACATGCGACGAATTGAGAATTCGATGTTTTTAGCATTCCATTAACTGAAGATTCGATATTTTTAGCATTCGGACGATTCGATGTTTATATCATTCGACGTATTGACAATTCGATGTTTTTAACATTCGACGAATTGATAATTCGACGTTTTGAACATTCGTCATATTGACGATTCGATATTTTTAACATTCGACGAATTGAGAATTCGACGTTTTGAACATTCGACGTATTGACAATTCGATGTTTTTAGCATTCGACTAAATGCCGATTCGATGTTTTTAACATTCGACGAATTGATAATTCGACGTTTTGAACATTTGTCGTATTGACGATTCGATATTTTTAACATTCGACGAATTGAGGCTGGAGTCCCATGACAGCGTTTTGCGTTGCGTTTTGTAACTAGGCCATGAGTGTGAGAGAGATACAGATATATGTTTGCTATATTTGCACTCATTGCCTAGTTACAAAACGCTACCATGGGACTCTAGCCTGAGAATTCGACGTTTTTATCATTCGACGTTTTGAACATTCGACGTATTGACAATTCGATGTTTTTAACATTCGACGAATTGATAATTCGACGTTTTGAACATTCGTCGTATTGACGATTCGATGTTTTTAACATTCGACGAATTGATAATTCGACGTTTTGAACATTCGACGTATTGACAATTCGATGTTTTTAGCATTCGACGTTTTGTCCATTCGATTACTTGGCATTCGACTATTTGATCATACGACGACTTGGCGATTAGGGGATATGCATGCGTCTCGATTTTTTGTTAAAAACAATTTAATCATTTAGAAAAAAGGTTAAAAGTTTATAAAATTTTCAGGAGAAATAAAAAGTATTTTTTTCATCGAAATGTTGAAAAAACATTTCGATATGCATCCACACACATACATCCGGAGAATTTGTTCCCCATGTTGAAATATTTATATACGCTATACTTAAAAATTTGTAAAAATAATTGATTCTAAGAAAATCGACACCCTATGAGGAAATAAAACTGTTAATATTAAATAATTATTAAAAAATACTATTTTTAAAAATTTTGTAGTTCTAAATGAAAGTTAATTGTTTTACCCCTTTTGTATGCACTCAAGGTTCATTGTTTTAGGAAAAATAAGATTTTTTTATAAAAAGTTGCAAAAAAATTCATTTTACAATAACTTTTTTTAAACAAAATTTTTTCTGTCGTTTGTTTGTTAGAGACAATGGCCAAATAAAAATGCTTTTTTTCATTTCGATTTTAAAAATACTCCTTATTTTTTGTAAAATTTCACTGATTCTGACTTAATAATTTTTTTAGAAAATATTAGTTAAAATAATTTTTTCTATTTTTTAATACAGAAAAATTTAGAATCTAAATATAATATTTCGTGAGGAATAGGAATATTTCAATTTTTCATCATTCTGGTAGTCATTTCTTGTATCCTTTTACTTTATAACTTTTTTCCTAAAAATAATAAAATATTATGCATATTTTAAAGTTTTTTTGACCCCCCTCCTCTCCATTATAAGATATTTTATGTGCATTAGCGTCATTTTTTCTAATGAATATAAGCTATCTACCGTCGCTTATTGGTAGATACAAGAGAATATTGACGGAAAAAGCCGAACGCTCAATAAGATCATCTTAAGCATTTGCTTGGTCAAGCAATTCTTAAGGTGCATTTCCTTTACCAAGCAGTTGCTTATTTTTGACTATGAATACATATGGTCTTAAGCTCGACTCAATCGAATAAGACCAACTTGATCAAGCAAAGCTTAAAGTCCAACGCACAATAGGTTCGCGAAAGTCGTTCGCGAACGAGACACATGAGATAGACAAGGACACAAATATATCTCTGTCCTTTTCTAACTCATGCTTTGCGTTCGCGAACGACTTTCGCGGACCTATTGTGCTTAGGCCTTAAGTCCTTGCTTAAGTCGGGACTATGAATACCGCCCATAGTGTTAATCTGATTACACATTTGGTACAGTAGGTTTCAATTATGCCTTCTTAGTTTGAACGTGTCGCACTCATATGTTCCCATGGGAAAATATGAGTGCGACACGTTTATACTAGGAAGGCATTTTTGAAACCTACTGTACATTGGTGCTGAAAAACCTATCGCGGATCGCAGAGTTGACAAAGCGAAAGGTTGGTTGAGTCTAGAGGACAATCTAGGTATTTTAAATTTTATTAAAGATAACAAATAAGCGGAGTCAATAGAATAGTTAATTAATTTATAAATGGTTATACATTGATTTATAAAACGTCTTTCAGCATAACCAAAAACAAACGACTATCGCAAGCCTACGAACAAAATACTATGTATCATTTTAATACCTCAGATTATTAAAAGAACAGTAAAATTGTAAGTAACTTTCGTAAATCCAAGTAACACAAAAACAAAATGATGTTATGCAAGAAAGTACAAATACGGGAACAATTATTATATAACCAAAATCATTTTTCAAAACATTAATTATAGAAAAACAAAAGACAACCCAGTAAACAAAAACTAATTAAAATAAATTAAAAAGAATTCACAAAGAGTTTCAGTGAATCCCGCTTTGTGACAAAGACGAATTGGAGCTATGTTGCAATTTTCCTGAATTCGTCAAACTGTATTGAACTTCCAAACCTTCTATTCTTACTAATTCAATGGACAAGTTTTGGGGCTTTTAATTTTTTTAATTCGTCAGCACGAATTCAATGCATGCCTTGGTCATTTCTTACGAATGCGAATTCGTTTGCACAACTTCAGGCAAATTGAATCGAATTCAATCGAATATACAAAGAGCTTGAATGAATCCCGCTTTCTACCAAAAATCTTAATTCATTTAAATCCGTTTGAATTAGTTTTTTTACTGGGAACACTTTCTGTTCACGGAATAGCAAATTATTATTACGTATGTATAGGTAAGGTATAGGTATAGGTATATAGGTATACAGTAGAGACTCCATTATCCGGACTAATGGATGCAGGCACTTGTCCGGATAATCGAAAATCCGGATAATCGAGTAAAGTACGAATTAAACAAATTTTTGATTCATAATTTTATGTATTTATTTGCGGGGTGAAATTTAAAATAGAAGTTAACGGCTTGAGACCTTATAAACTTTGTATTAAAAAAAAATTTTTTTAATTTTAAATTTGTCCGGATAATCGAATATCCGGATAATAGGGGTCCGGATAATGGAGTCTCTACTGTATTTTAAAATAATATTGTTCGAATGAATTCAATTTTCTTCATTAATAATAAAATTCCAAGAATTAAATTATTTTCATAAAAAACAAAATTCTTGGGAAAAATTCTATAATTTTCGTAAATAATAAAATTATTCGCAGAAATTTAATTATTTTCAATACAATTTAAATGAAATTCCTCGAAAGAATTAAAATATCTTCAAAAAATTTGATGAAAATTCTTCGCAGAAATTTAATTACTTATTTTCAATGATTTTTATAAAATTCTATATTAGAATTCAATTGCTTTCAATATAATTTTAATTAAATTCCTTGACAGAATTCTATTCTTTTCAAAATTTTAATTAAATTCTACGAAACAACTTAATTATTTTAAAAAATTCTAAATAAATTCTACTGAAGAAGACAATTTTTATAAATAATACTATAAAAAAATTCAATTATTTTAAAAAATTTCATTTAAATTCTTTGCAAGAATACAATAATTATTTTATACATCATTAAATCGCAATAATCAACTGTTTCTATTTCTTACAAAATTTAAGAAAAAATCAATTTCAAGTATGAAAATGTCAAAAGACACAAAAAATTATTATAATAAAATTATTATAAGAAATATTATTGAAATTTCTGTTTCTATTTACCCTGAATTTAATACTTAATTTAAAAAAATGTTATTATTTTCAACAGGCCCAGGAGCCGCTGACGAGTCCTGGAACAAACGATTACGTTTAATATTTAAATGGTCTTCGAAAAGGGGCTCAGCAGGCTGAGAAGAGATTTTTACCCCGTGCAATAAAAAGAAAATGATCGCCTCCAAGAAGATTCAAGAAACGAGAAATAGAAATAACAAGAAAGTTTTTCGAGCGATTATTCTAAGTCTGCCGGAATGCGCGCCTGCCTGCCAACTCAGCTGTGATTATGTTTATTTTTTATACTACGTCCTTTCCTTTTAATGAACTTGTGCATGTCATCCTTTTTAAGTTTAAAACTACACAACCGCGCAAAAAGACTTTTTTTTCTTCTTGCACAAAAGGAGGAGCCTATTGGCTAAAAAACAAATAAAGCTTGGCATCGATAACATTTTAAATATAATATCAATGCCACGCTGTTAGATCAATTCTAATTTGACAATTCGATTTAACGAAAAGACACTTTTCTTAAATTGTAAATACACTTTTATAGAAAGAGAGAGAAAAATTTTTTACTTCCGTGATAAGTTGAAAAAACTCTGTATATATTACACACGCTCGTGACGTTATTTAATTTAAATTATTGCTATATTTGTACATAAAGACAGTATTCGTTGAAAGATCTGCAATTTTTACGGTTTTTTTTTATCTTTTTCTCGAAATTGTATTAAAAAAATTTACAATTGTAATTATCTACCACTCAAGATCGATTTGACTTTTAAACAATATTTTAATTTATTTTTATCAAATTTCGTTGAATTTGATAAATCGATCGAATTTTAATTTTTGATCTATTTTAATCCAAAGAATTTAATTTCTATGAAATTAATTTAAATCAAGTTTTATTAAAGTTTAAATAGAGATCGCTCCAATAGTAATTGCTATAAATGTAAAAGAAATTAATTTCTAAGATAATTTTCATTTAAATTATTTTGTTAAAATTTGTTTCTTTACTGTCTTTTGAAATTTATTATTTAAGCTATTTTAGTTTACAAGATTAAAATAGTATCCTATTTTTAATTTCTTTTATGAGGCAGTATTCTAATTGGTTGAAAGTTAACATTTAGTATTTTTAAAAATTTGTATTTATTTTCTCATAGAAAAATTTAATTTATTTACTTATTGAAATATTTAATTTATTCACGTATTTAATTAGTATTTTATTTACTTTCTAAAGAATTTGTTTACTTTCCAAAAAAAAATTGGTTAACTTGGTAAAAGAATAGAAAAAATTGTGCAATATTTATTGAAATTAGGAAATTCAATTTTACAAGAATATTGTAAATTCAATCGGTTTTGAGTGAAAAAGAAAAAAATGAGGTGTTACTAATATTAAAAGGCGAGTTTCTCCTTTTGTGCTTTATACACGAAGCGCACGAGCAGCGCTCCTAGCACGTCCAAACTTTTGAAATTAAAAAAATAAAGAAAAAAGTAAAAAAAATTATACAAAAAAAGCTGCTCGTGCTTTCATGGTAGATTATTATAATGCCATAAAGAGCTCATATTTAGGAGAATTTTGTTAATTATTGTAATAATAATAATAATAATAATAATAATAATAATTGTAACAGGTGACAAATTAATTAGATGTAATTAAGAGCAGCTCAATGACACTAAGTGTGACTGTGCGTCTGTTAAGGAAAAGAAAAAAAATTATTCACTGTTCTTGTTTACACATGTTTATACATGTGTAAACAAGAACAGTGAATAATTTTTACATTTACATGTATAAACAAATTATGAAATTTTTGTTTAACCTCAACGATTTCTCATATCGTTAAGAAAGAAATTTTTCGACTTGACTCAATATTCGTATAGTTTTTTTCCGGGTAATGTTATAAAAAGAATGCTTCCAAATAGCGAATTAAATTTTAAACTTGAAGATATGATTTAATTTTTAATTTTAAATTAATTGCAATTTGAAGGGGAATGAAATTTTTCTGTCGCAATTTGTTGCATTCTTTTAGAATTACATGGCACTCTAGGGAATGAAGAACACATTTTTCTTTTCATATGAAAAAAAAGATAAAATAAAAAGCAAGACAAAGTTTTACACGCTGGTGCCATAATTTTCAACAAATCTACTTTTATAAACCGAGTCTTGCTTTTTTAATTATATAAATCGTCTTCCGACAGATTTTTTTTCTTTCAAAATATTTTGAAAATTTTTAGGTTTTGGTGATAAATAATTTTATGTCAAGAAAGACTAAATGCCAAATATTTAGAAAATTTTAGATAAAAGTTTGAGGAAATTTGATTAATATCTAATTTTTAAGCAGAGGTTACTCTGATATTTTTAGTAACTATGTCAAGAAAATATTTTTTAAATATTTCATAAAATTATTTTTATGTTTATTTTTACCCTTTGAATTTTTATTTTTCTTTAAAAAATTAGTAGATTTTGAAATCAATGGTTAAATTTTGTAGAAAATGTGTTTTTGGATCAACAAGAAAATTGTCAGAAGAAAAATTTGATTTTTATTATTATTTCTGAAGTATTTTTTCTTTGAATTGTTTTTAGGCTAAAATAATTTTAAAACAGAATTTTTTATTTTTTAATTCTCATATATACAAAAATTGTTATTTGAAATATTTAAATGTTTATTCATTTTAATTAATATTTTCTATTAATACCTAATCATTATATAATATATATATATATATATATATATATTAAGCATTTTTAGTCTAAAACCAAGGGACCATTCAAGTATTACGTAAGCATTTAAGGGGGAGGGGGGGGTCTAGCTATTGCTTTATTCCATTAGAAAAAATGGCGCTAATGCATATAAAAAATCTTACATGGGGGAGGGGGGGGTCTAAAAACTTGAAAAATATGCTTACGTAATACTTGAATGGCCCCCAATTTAAGAAAAAAGAAAAAATGCTTTAAAATAATAAAAATAGTAGTTTACTATTTTTGAAGCATTAAAAAAAAAATTTTTATGCTAAAAATGCAAAAAAGTACTAAACAAACTTATTGAATTTTTTATTTATTTATTAAAAAAAACAATTTTAAAGAAATTCTTCAAAAATAGTACAAAATCAAAATTTTTCATTCGGCAACTTTTTTGGGGATAAAAAACAAGTTTTTTACAAAAATAACACCAAAAAAGCACGAATTTTGGGTCCTATCAATTTTTTGGGAAACATAAAAATTCAAAAGATGTCAAATTATTTACATCGCTGTACCTTCAGCTTAATCGACAGCTAGGTATATATATGTAATAGAAAATTGAATCGTTTATTATAAATATTCAGTAAATTATTAAATTATATTAATTTTAATTAAAAAATTAAATTAATGAAGTAAATTAAAACCATGAAAAAATGGGGGACTAATTCTCTGCTGGGGCAGAGAATCAATTCCGGGAGAATTCGAATTAAAAAATTTAATTTAAAATATTTACTATGAAAAGTTTTTTACCATTTGAAAAAAATCAATTTCACAATTGTAATAAAGTAATAAGACTGTCACGTTTAAATAATCTATTTATTATTTATAAATTGTAAAAGAAATTTGTAATTTATAATTCTTTTTCCTTCAAACATTTATAAATGAGAGAGAGAGGTCTTAGGTCTGCGGGTATGAAAAAGAGAATTATTATTTAAGCATAGAGGCTCCCGTTGATTTTAATCAAAAAAATTAAAAAGACAAAAGAAGTAGAGTGTGTGATGAATGATAGTCACAGATTGTTGCGAGAGTCTTGAAGGTATTGAAACTTCAACATAGCCAATCTATCCGCCAAAATTGTGTCAAACATAATTTCTATGCAACATTACCATTACACACACAAACGTATATATACAAATATATATTATAATAAAATAATTGTATAAATAAAGAAATGAAAAATAATAATCAGTAATTATTTTTCACAAAAATTATTTTATTTTATTTATTTTATTGTTATTACTCATTTTATAAATTACCATAAATTCATTATTATCCTTTTTCTTCTTCTTTAAAGTTAAATTGGAAGTAGTTCGTCGTCAATTTTTTTTCACTTTTTAGCATTTAATTAAAATTTTTAAATTTAAATTAATATTATATTTGTTTAATATTCTCTTTAAATTCTTTAAATGATATAATTTATAAAGAGAAGTGGCACATTTTCTTTACAAAATTGCCACTTCTAAAATGAAAAACATTGAGAAAATTATTTTTAGGAATTTAATTAATATACTTTAAGTAATCGAGCATTTTTACAGTTTTATAGAAATCGAAACAAACTTGTTATGATTTCTTCATTGCGGAAATATCGACGAAACTTAACAATTAGACATTTTTTTTGTGAACAGAAAATATATTCGTAAATACTTGGGAATTAGAAGAAATACATCACATTTTTTTTGAATAAAAAATATTTGTTTTTTACTCATAACTCCGGTATTCGTTTCATATTATATTTTTGTAGAGACATTTTACTCGCGATTTAATGAAAACTTATTTTATCGTGATCACAAGAGTTTGCCCTTAAGAATTTCGTAAGCCATTTTATTTCTAAAATAGGGCATATCCTGTTGTGTAAAAGTGATATTTCTCTTGGCGCAAATAAATTCGGCGAACATACACGAAAATACGCCACAATCACTGCCATTCATTTGCTGTGGAATATCTTTGACGCTATCGAGTTTCCAGTCGCTTGTGTCGTATGATTTCTTCTTTTTATCAATACTCTCATCCTCCAAATATTTACGAAGTGCCACAAGACATTTGGGATTTGCACTTCCCATACTGTCGAAATATTTAATTGTCTTATCTCTAAAGTCTATTATTGACATACACCAATGAATACCAAGATGAATTGGCACAACAACAATGTCTTTGGCGAAAATGTCAATTTTCCTTGTCCATCGTTTCAATGATGAATGACCGGTTGATAATAATTTTGGATAAAAGAATGTATTCATTGCGTGAACTGTGGGGAATTTCTCATTATTGCCGCGTTCAATGAGAAGGTTCATGTAGAAATTAATGACTTCGTCATTGAGCCAATTGAGACCGGCGAGTGTTTGTATATCCTTGCGTGTTATTCTCAAGCCGAAACCTTCGGCAAGAACGTCGTTTGAGGAACGGGGCGCCAGCGCGTTTTTCACCTCGTGAAGCATTCCATCGGTGAGTGTTGGCAATGGCTCTTCATCGGGAATTTCTCTATCATCATAAACTTCTTTGCATAATTTTAATGTGCGTGCCAATTGCTCGTCGAGTGACAATTCCCGGGTCATGCGATTTGCATCGGACAGAAGATTTGCTCGGCGTTTTAATTCCTCGGCTTCACGGAGTTGTTGCTTTATTCTTTCGTCATGTCGCTTTGCGATTTGTGGCACCAGGTCCTTTTTCAATACGGATTTCGATGCAAGTGCCTCGCGCAATGTATTTGTTTGCAACACTTTCAGGGGCATTGCGTTTCCTGCGAATTCATGGAAAAATAATAAATATTAAATTTTATAAATTAATAAAAAAGGATTCCAAATATTTTTTGAATAAATTCCTTCTCCAATTTTTTTTATTTATTTTTATTTATTTTTATTATTACAAATAAAAATTCTAATGAATTTTTCTGAATGTTCTGAATGTTCAAATGCAAGAAATTTATTTATTTCTTCTTCAAATTCAATTTTTAAGATAATAATTTTGCCTCACTATTAAAAAAATAATATTTTAAAGTTTCTAAATGTTAACTTTAAGTTTTTAATTTTACATTTAATTATGACAATCAGTAATTTATGAAAATATCTATCAATTTTAAAATAAATGTATTGAAAATAATTGAATTCTTGCAAATAATTTTATCAAAAATTTGAGAATAATTTAATTATTTCTTCCAAGAATTTTTTTAATTCAATTTTTTTCAAGAGTTTCTTTCAATTTTTTTAAAATAATGGAGTTTCTTTAATAATTTTAAGTGAAAATTTTAAAAGAAAAGAATTTTTAGAAAAATATTAATTGTATTAAATAAAAATTATTAAATATAATTAAAATATTAATTGTATTAAAAATAATTTAATTTTTGCAAATAATTTTACTATTTATAAAAATAATTGAATTCTTTTGAAAAACTTTATAACGAATAAAGAAAAAAATTAAATTCTTGCGTGACATTTTATTGCAAATAATTGAATTTTTGCAAAGATTTTTATTATTTATAAATAAATATTATTGAATTTTTACGAAGATTGTTATTATTTATGAAAATAATTGATTTGTATTTAAATATATTTAAAGAGTAAATTGCAAAAATTTTTGTATTTTCATCGTTTCAATAATTTTTAGAAACTTTTTTAAGAATTCAATTGTTGAAATACAAGAATTCAATTTTTTATAAAAATTTCAACTGTAAGTTTTCGTGGTTTTTCTTAGGTTTTTAAAGTGAAAAAGTTAATTAAAGGATAGTTCAACGTTTCCAATATTTTTAAAATTCACCATAAAGTATAATTTTTGCAACGAATTTTAGAACACATTGGATGGAAAAATTTAAATAGTTATTTTGTCACATTTTGAAAATCAAATTAAGTAGCAATTTTTTATCAATAAAAATCAGGCGCAGTAAAAATTGTTTTTCTATGCTTCTCCGATAGTTAATTAACTTTTTTTGCTTGAGGTATAATTTTTAAAAAATTTTAATACATAGATTTTAGTGACTTAGAGAGAAAAAATGTTAATTAGTAGGTATATTTTAGAAAATGAACAATACTATGAAAACCTTTTAACCTACATTTCATTTAGCTCAATGTTAATGATACTAATTTTCCTTTACTTTCCAAAAAATATTTTCATACAGTAATTTTAACAACAAAAAATGCCAGAAAATATGAAAATTTTAAAACGAATTATATTTTTAAGGAAATAAGTGAAAAATTTGACTACCTTGTGTTTTATCTTTGCCGACAGCAAAAGCAGATTGAACCACCGGTTCCTCTTTTTCGATTTGAATCCTGGAAATATTTGACGGTAAGGAATTTCGACTCCTACCGCCGGAATAATTTCTACCTCTATCACATCTCCAAGGTGTGTAGATTTGCCTCTTTTGAGCTGGAATGGATTTTTGTGAGAAATGTGGTTCCTCATTTTTATCGAGTTCAATGACGTCTATGGGAGAAACATGATTTTTAACCGTTGATTCACTTTCTGAAAAATTCCAACGTTGAGGAAGGAAATTCTGCTTACCCCTGCCATATCGCCAGGACGTGTTGATTTGCCTCTTTTGAACTGGAATGGATTTTTGCGAGGTTTGAGACTCATCACTTTTGTCGAGTTCAATCACCTCTATAGAAGAAACATGATTTTTTTCAGGTTCACTGCGCATAACATTCCTACGTTGAGGAACAAAATTTTGCAACAGCTCACCATACTGTTGTTTCTCCTGAAGACGATGAGTCCTGACCAATGTCGAATTATGTGAATCGGCAACTGCATTATTGGTCTGTCCTCTACCACGACTGCAACCCATTTCGGAATTATTATTACAATAATGATACGATGATTGGGCCGGTGGATTATTACGATATGAATTTGCTTTCGAAGCTGGTAGTGAACGACGTTTGTTTCTTCGATTGTTGTTCATTTGGCTGAATGATCTTAACGGACTTGAATGAAATTCTGCGATGATTTCCATATCATCATTCTCGGCATTCTCATTATTTTCATCGTGTTGAACGTTTAGGAATAATTCATTGCCAAATAGTGGATCACCGTAACGAAAGCGTTTATTACTTATTATTTCCTGTTCAAAGGGAAGTGAATCGTTTGCTGCACGTTTTCTTTGGTTTCTATCTGCCCACGTAAATATGTTACGAATAAAATCAAACACGTTGTTTACCATATTCATCATGACCACCTGAAGTGATCATAGGGACAACTATTTGTTGATTATTCCTTTTCAAATTCACTAATTCCATTCACTAATGCTTCTCAGGTTACTCAATTGTCGACGAAAACCTACAAAATTAAAACATAATTCAAAAACATCACTAATTTTAATCAATTATTATTTAATTTCGAATTATCAAGGTTGCCACAAAAATTTAATTTTCTTTTTCTCTAATTTTAAATGAAAATAATGGAATTATTGTGAAGAAATTTATAAAAAATTTGTAAATAATTGCATTCCTGTAAAATTTTTATTATTTATGAAATCAACTAAATGTTTGCAAAAAATTAGAATTTTAGAAAATCATTAAATTTCTGCTAAAAATGTTGTTCTTCATGAAGATACTTAAATTCTTGCTATAAATATTATTAACAATTTTGAAAATAATTGAATTTTTGTGAAGTATTTTGTTATTTATGAAAATAATTGAATTCTTGCGTAGAATTTTATTAAAACTTTTAAAAATAATAAAATTCTTCATATAATAATTTAAATATTTTCAAAAATTGTGTTTTATTCAATTATTTTGAATACAATTTTAATTAGACTCCTCTAAAGAATTTAATTATATTCAAAATTTTTAATAAAATTTAGAATGTCAATTATATCCAAAAATGTTAATAAATTTCTTAAAAAAATAAATTATTTTCTAAATTTTGTTATTTTGTTATTCATAAAAATACAATTTTAATTAAATTCCTGGAAAGAGTTGAAAAATTTTAATGCAACTTGTAAAGATTGTGTTTTCGACTAAAATTCTCCTACAAATCCATTAGAAGAGAGTGGTCCTAAGTTGGCCGCCTAAGCAAATTGGTCGAAAATAGTAACAAAATGAAATTTAATCACTTCGGCAAGTATATATTAGTGTTCAGAGATCGTTTTGCTATAATTTTGTGGTATTTAGAACGCTATAGAATGGCTTTTGTAGTCTTAATACAATAAATAGTGAAAAGCTGCATTTTGGACATTTCAGAAATAGCGGTCCTAAGTTGGCCACCACTTTTTTTCGCTTGTGTTTAAGGAAGAAATGCATATTCTTTTCAATTACGCAGGAATTTTACAAATTTGATACATTTAGGAGAATAAAAACGCATTATTTAACTATTTTTGATTAGAAAATGAAGCATTATTTTATTTCATTTATTTGCAGTGGTGGATAACTGTGGAGACAGGCGTTTTTGTACTATATCTTTTCTAATGTTTTTTAAACCATTTTTTTTGTTTCTTGTTTTTGTTTAATTCCTACGTTATATGGAACTGGGGTGACGGGCCAAATAATAAAAGTAACTTATTTGGCCCGCTGACGGGCCAAATAGACACTCCGTTAATTTTTTGCTTTTTTATAAATATTTACAAAAAATATTTTATAATAAATTTTTTTTAGATAAATAAACATTAAAATATATTCAATGCAGAGTTTACAAACACATATTTGTTAAATAAATAATGTAAATAGAAGACTAACATTTATTTATGTATATATCTTTTTTTATTTATTTATTTAAAAAATGTCTATAAATTAAGAATACAATATTTTTTAAAGATTGTAATTCTTAAAAAAATTATTGTTCACAAAAATATTTTGGTACGCCTGTATATTTCCGGAATTTAAAAAGTTCTAATCGTAGTTTTATCCATTTAAAAAGTTTTAAATGTTAATAAAGTGAGTTTATCATAGAATTTATTTTTCAGCAAATAAGCAAATTATCCGATTCGCATTTACTAAATAATATAATTTATTTAAGGGTAACACCATTCTAGAGCCAGAAAAAGAGACCTATATTTTTGATTATTTATTTTGAGAAAATGAAAAATAGAATTGGATTTCTTTTTGGAGGATTTATTAATTATACATATTGAAGTGTGGAATTTTTTTTTAAAATTATATAACGAAATGGCGGCGGTAAATTTCATATTCAAAATCGACTATTTCTTATGGCCGGAAAGGTTTCTTGAAAAGTTTAAGTCCTGGAACAAAAAGTAAAGAAATTTTACAAACTAAATACTATAAACTTTGGAACTACATACAGATTTTTTAATTTGATGTAAACTTTATTTTTTATAAACAATTTACTTTTTATTACTCTTTGCCAAAAAATCGATTATTGTACCCAAAAGTGCGCGATTTTTACAAAAATTGATAGGGTAACTGTACCAATTGTCGAGGGTTTTAGGCAACATGTGACTTTGACATTTTTTTTCTCGGAAGTAAATGCACTTAAAAATTTGATTTTTGTATATTTGGACGAAGGATCTAATAATGTTTAATATTCATATTTATTTTTTTAATATAAACTAAATTGTTAAGCAAAAAATATATTTAAAAGTCAATCGAGCAAAAGCACCATTTGTCGATGGTCTTGTGCTAATTTCTCGAGGGTCTGTTCCAATTGTCGAGGGTATGACATTTTTAAACATATAACCCAATATAACCTAACAATTAACCTGTACAGATATTAGAAAATCGAGTAGATATTTATTTTTTAGATAAAAATATTATAGAACATTACCAGAAAACAAATATATTTATTTAACTATAATTGAATAATTTATAATATCGATATAAAACATTTTTATAGTAGATGATACAGGACAGAAAATTATTTAACTGTTTTTTAAACTTTTATAAATATAAGTTAATTAAATTTAATCAATTTTGTTAATCAGACATTAATTAAAAAAATAAATTAATTTAAGTCACATTAAATTTGTAAACGAATAAAATAAACTTTTATTACGAACTGTAAATATAATGGTTAATTATAATTAAACTATAGTACAAAATTTTTTAGTTTTAAATAATGCATTTTTTTATTAATTTTTTATCGGTCTTCCTCGTTTTTTTGGTTGATTATTTTCTGTTGGTTGTAAATTTTTGGAGCATTTTTTATCTTTTTCTCTGTACCTATAAATGTTTGGCATTTATGTTTGACGTTTAGTAAATAAACACTTAACCATCGATAAATGGTGCATCAGCGAAAAAAGTGACTACACCAATTTTCGAGTCATTACCTCGAAAAATGGAACTGTCAAAAAAAAGGAACCAAATACCGATGATTTGCTTTTAAAAAATATTAAATATTTTTTTTTAACAAAAAAACATGCATACAAAATTAATTTAGTTCGTGTACAAAATTATAATAATAATTTTGTACACAAAAAGTCATTATAAATACGTTTAATTTACATTTCTAAAAATCTGTTTTAATCAACCTGAAGTATTAAGAAAATGGAGATTCGTGTAAATTTCACAGCAGTGAATTATAATATTAATTAAATAATTATTTCAGTAGAATTGCTACGAAATTTGTATATATAAATATACAGTTGAAAATACAAAGATTATTTAGAAATTTTTTTTGTTCTTAAATATTATATATTATACTATTTATCTAAAAAAGAAAATTATTATCCTCGACAATTGGAGCACCCTCGGCAATTGGTGCAGTTACCCTATATAAAAAACCCTTATGCACTTCCAAAGTTTACATGGAGAAAAATATAAAATAACTTTTACTACTTTTATAGTAAAAAATTTACCGGAAATTTTTTACTATAAAAGTAGTAAAAGTTATTTTATATTTTATATTATTTTATATTTTTTCTGCCTCTAGAGTGGTGTTGACCCTTAAATAAAATAATTTTTTTGAAGAAGAGTAATAGTTCTATATAAATGTTACAGTTACTATAAAAGTTTAATCAAAATTATAATGTTGAATAATTTGAAATTTATTCATTTATTCAAATGCTGAATTTTTCAAAAGGTAAGTTATTAAAATATTTATGATATGCAAAACTTTATTTTCTCGAACATTTATGAACTCAAATGTCCATAAAATATATTTTTTAATATTATTTTATAAATGTCATTTGACAGAATGTTTACTGTAGCAAATGTTAATTGCAAATAATGTTTTTATACTCGAATAACCAATTTTACAATGTTAAAGAATTGACTATTCTTCATTATAAAATATTATAGTCAATTATTGTAATAATAATTGGTAGTCAATTTTTTTAGATTAAAACTCCATTTGGATTTTTTAACATTGTAAAAGTGGTAATTCGAGTATAAAAAAATTATTTGCAATTAACATTTGTTACAGTAAACATTATGTCATATGACATTTTTATAAACATTAAAAAATATATTTTATGGTAATTTGAGTTAATAATGGTTCGAGAAAATAAAGTTTTGCATAACATAAATATTTTAATAAGTTACCTTTTGAAAAATTCAGCATTTGAATAAATGACAACTAGATAATATAGAATATATAACAATTTTACCAGTTGAATTTTCATCTTCTTCAGGATTACACGGGTTTCAAATTATTCAACATTATAATTTTGATTAAACTTTTATAGTAACTGTAACATTTATCTATTACTCTTCTTCAAAAAAATTATTTTATTTAAATAAATTATATTTTATTACATTTAGACTTAACATATTAATGTCAGAAGCCATTTAAAAAAGTCCAACAGGATTCAAGGTGGGGAAAGAAGTGATTTTTGTTTTTTAATTGTAATTCCGGGATTTTTGGAAAATCTACGACAAAAAATACAAAATCACTGCTTTCCCCGCCTTAGATCCTCTTAAAATCTTTTTAAAATTGCTTCTGATATTAAAATAAATAATTATCAAAAGAAAAAAATTGCTTCCAAGTCAAGAAAATTAATTAAACTAAATAATTAAAATAAATTAACAACTTACTTGAAATTTCGGAATTTTCGTCAAATCTGTGACAAAAAAAAATTCAAATTCACTGCATTCCCTGCCTTACATCCTCTTGAAATTTTTTCTAAATGGTTTCTGACATTAAAATAGATAATCGTGAAAAGAAAAAAATTGCTTTCAAGGCAAAGAAACAATAATTTTGGTTTTAGTTGAAATTTCGTGATTTTTAGAAAATCCGTCACAAAAAAATACGAACTAATGTTTCCCCATCGTTTACATGAACAATTTTATTAAGAAAAATGTGTATCCTGAACTTTTCAGAGAAACATTTTTTCGTTGAATCAACATTGTTAACTTCAGTTTCATTTTTACTATATACAGATAAAATTTCTTTCATTAATTTATCGGGACGTTTTAGACTCTAAATATTTTATCCGGCTGACCGGATATTTAGTTAGTATTTTACTACACGCATAGAAAGGGTTTGCTGTGGCAGCGAACATTTTGCTACCACAGCAAACCTTGTTCGTTGAAATAGGGACAGCGAACAAGTTCGCTGTGAGATCAAACAAGTTCGCTATGACAGCAAACTCGACTAAATTTTTACTAATGTTTGCTGTCACAGCTAACATGTTCGCTGCCACTGCAAACTTCTTAGCTATGGTAGCTAATTTTCAAAGATTTCACAGCAAACATCTGTTTACTGCTGCAGCTAATTTCTTTTTTTCCGTGTAGCCGGACGTTTAGACCCAGCTGTGTTATGCAGCAAAACGTCCGGCTAGACAGTATCCGGACGAATTTATTGCGTCCGGCTAACAGTACCCGGACAAATTTTTTTATCCGGCTAGTCGGACGTATAGACGCAGTGAATAAAAATCCCTGACTTTTCCTTGATTTACCTGACCTATGGCAACCATGATTATTATTCGAAATTGGCTAAATTATTATCTAATTTCGAATTATTATTCGAAATCTACTAAATGTTATTTATAAAAGAAATCAACTTACATGATACTTTCAATCACCACAGTTTGCGATGATCATTAAAAATAATGTTCGAATGTCAGAAATATTTGCTGTTCAGTTCACATAAAATTTTCTCAAATTTTAGCGTAAACCTGAAATTTGAAGAATATTACAATTAATTTTCAGTGGAAATACATTAAATTGCATTTAGAAAATAAGATTATCATTACGTTTCCAAATTATTACACATATACAAATTTCGGAGTTTTATAAAAAATATCGCAAAATGTCAACAATAAAACTATTGTACTTAATTTCCCATTACTGAATTTTGTTTATATTAACTTGAGTTACAATTTTTTTTTTCGTTTTTCCAAAAAAAGGTCATTAACAAGCATATTTGTCGTATAAACTAACCTTAAAGTTTAGTTTTACATTGTAAAATACATTGAAACAAAACAAGTACGAAAATTGTAAATCAAAGAGCAATGATTTCTCGTGAAGACTAGAATAATAATAAAGTGATAAATATATCTAGAATATACGTACAAATCAAATTAGAATGATAATACTCACATTTTTATCGCACGCTAACAGAATGACTTGGGAAACACCCGCCTTCTTCCACAGTTAACCGTTTTTCTTCTTTTTCCTGTTTGCATTCAAAGTAAACTTTTATCTTTATTGCTAAAAGATTTACAACTAAAGGAACATGTATAGGATATTAATTAAATATTTGAAACGCCTGATTTTAACTGAGTTCTGATTAACTTTTATTAACTTCGCAATTGAAGTTCGGCAAACAATGAAATTTAAGGTTAGGTTTGACTTTCCTCAGTGCGTGTTGCGCACGCGCAAGTCACGTGACTAGAAACACCAATTTTCAAATTCAGTTTATAGATTTTCTATTAATATTCAAATATATTATTAGATATTTATAATTATAATAATAAGAATAAAAAACTAAAAACTTATTAACTAATTATTATATCAATTATTTTCAATAACATTTAGTTAAATTCTGTCAAGGAATTTATTTTCAAAAATTGTAGCTAAATTCTATATACATATATAAAAATTGAATTATTTTAGAAAATTCAATTATTTTCAATACAATTTTAATTAAATCTTTTGAAATTATAAAAAATAAATTATCAAAAAACTTATTCTCTAAATTTTAATTAAGTAATTTTTGAATTTACCTGGAATTATTAAAAATTGAATTCTTATTTTAGAAAATTTAATTATTTTCAATAAAATTTTAATTGAATTTCTCGAAATTATAAAAAATAAATTATTAAAAAACTTATTTATAAATTTACAAAACAATAAAATATTAATTTAATAATTAATTACTAAATTAATGATTATTCAATTTTTCATAGTTTTATTTCTAAATTATTTAAAATCCCATGTAAAAACCAAAAATTAGTAAAATAAATAAATAAATAATGATTAGAAAAGAATTATCATCAAAGGACTATAATTGCACGCTTTAACAGTCTTTGTATGTATACAATAATTAAATATTAAAAAATTCTCACACGCAAATAGAATTAGAAAAGTAATATGACACTATTCATAAAAAAGAAATAAATCTCACGATTTATCTTTACATTTTTTGTTTAAAAGACCGAAAGCAAAAGCACTATTCGATCTACAATAAAAAATCACGAATAAAAAAATTTATTACTCTGATTTCATTCTTGTTCGAGAATAATTTAAAAAAAAAAATATTTTTCTGAAAGTAGAGTCGCAAAAGTACCCTCTTAATTAACATATTATAATTTCCTATGAGTCTTAGATTATGCATTCTCTATTTGCATAAATTAAAATTTCTTATGTTCATTTAAATTATTTATAGCAATATTTACAAAATGTATCATAGTTTCTCCTTCTGGCAACTTTGCATTCTCTTCAATTTTTTTAATGCGCACTTTGCCGCTGTACATTTTGCAATTCGATAATTTCGTCCAATTCCTTTAAATGAACCTTTACCGAATACGTCAACAATCACACGAACTCGTCTGCCGTCTGCCAATTTTTCCGGCTTTCCGAATTTCGCTGTTTCTGGTTCCAATTCTAAAAGTTCTCGAATCGGTGATTTAGGAACATTTGTACTGAATTGCTCTGAAAATAACAAGTTGTTTTTTAATATCGTTATTATAATTTAGAACGTTTTAAATTTTAAGTTTAAAAATTATAATTAAAGAATAAATAATAGAAAAATAAAGAGGGATAAGAAAATATTTAAAAATTAACTTTACCAATTTCAGATTTCATTATTTTGTAATAAACTCCCCAAACAGCGTCCAGGGACATTCCACTATCTAGATAAATTGCTCCTGCTAAAGATTCGAAAACATCTCCCAGAGCCTTTGGTACTTCGACGTCTTCTGCTTCTTCACATTCTTCTTCTCCAATTAAATAATACTGCAATTATCAATTAGAGATTCAACTTATTTTATGAATAAATAAATAATAAATAAAAAAAAATCTTTTCTTTTAAAAAAATATTATAAAACATATAAGAAAATTATTAAAAATCTAAGGCTTTTTTTAATGAATTTATTATTTATAGGTTGCCAGAAAAATTTTTTTCCCCTGATTTCCAGACAAAATTTTGACTTTCCCGCGATCCCTATTAAAAATATTTTACAGAAGTTGAATTATTTAAAAAAAATGATAATTTTTAGAAGCAAAAATATGATTTATAACTTTAAGATTGTCTATCTACCTATTTTGAAAATAAAATTAATTAAACTGTGGTCAACGTTCACTGATTTTTTTTAAAATTTTCATTAAAATTTAAAAAAAAACTATTTTTAAACATTATTTTTTTTAGAATTTTAGAACTTTTCATTTATTTTAAAACATTTTAATAGAATTTAAGAAAATTTAAATTATTTCAAAACTTTCTAATAGAATCTTAGGAAATTTCAATTATTTCCTAAATGTTTAATAGAATTTTATAAAATTACAATTATTTCAAAAATTTTCAAATACTTGTTGATTAACATTCAATTATCTTTAAATAACAGAATTGAAATATTTCAAAAATCTAATTTTTCAGAATTCCAAATACAACTTTTTGTTTAATTCAAATCACTTTAAAATTAAATTACTAGATTAAAATAAATATTAATTATTATTCATTTCTTCGCATCTATTGAAATTTTCAAAAATTTTAGTTTAAAATCTTCTTAAATTAAATTATTTCTAAAAATTGTAATTTTCTTTAATTAAAATATTATTTAAAGTTTATTACAATTAATTAAAAATGTTTGAAGCACACAGATTTCTGAGAAATTTAAGTTCAATTTTTTCAAGATACTTGAATTTTACCTGAAATTTTATTAAAAAATTATCAAATTAATGTAAATTTTGTGAAATTGAACTGAAAATGTCGAATTTTGGAAATTTGACATTTTAGCGCTCCAAAACCGAACAAAACACGGTTCGGTTCGAATGTTGTAGTAACTCGAATGTCGAATTATTCGACATTCGAACTACGCAATTCGAATGTTGAATTTTCTATATTCGAACCTGTGGCAAGCCTGCAGTATATTTTAATTTGAATATATTTTTAAAAATATAATTAACAAAAACCTCTTCGCTAATGGAATGTCCATTTTCCTCTTGAATTCTAACAAATCTGTCAATTACGACACTCAGTCCTGGAGATAAATGTCGAAAATATTTTTGGAAACCACATCTAACGGCTAAGGAAGCAAAAATTGTGTTATTCACAAGAGCGGATCTTAAATCGGTCAACGCTCCTGGAGAATGTTGTCTCGAGTCTTCGTACAAATGTCTCGTGATTAGATAATCTAGGAACAAAATTCAATTAGACCAGGTAATTAATTAGTTTACTTAAATAATAGTTTAATTAATTTATCTAAAAACAGTTTAATTAGTTGATCTAATAATTTAACTAATTCAATTCACAATTAAATTAATTAATTAATGAACTAAACTATTAAATTAAATTAGCTAAAATAATAATTTTATTAACAAATGTTTGCAATATCAGTCAATAGTTTCTACTTTAATTAAATTCCAACTGGAAATTTAAAATTAAAAACATTTAATTAGAAAACAATTAATTAAAATTACCTAAAACAGCATCGCCAAGAAATTCTAATCGCTGATAGCAATCTGTTAATCTATTCGGTTGATAAGAAGCGTGTGTGAAGGCTTGTAACAAATAACTTCTATCATAGAATTTATAGCCAATTTTTTCCTCCAGAAAATCATATCCATCGAGCATTTGTTCCAGTTCTTGTTCAGGATTGGGCACATATTTTAATAGCGGATTCTGTGGCTCCTCCAATTTACCATAACGAATCTGCAAAAACAAAATTATTCTCTTCATTCACTTTTTCTTTTGCAAAATTATTAAAAAATTATTAAATAAATTAAATTGATATTATTATTATTATTATTATTTATTAATAATATGTGGACGTCCACATGAAAAGGGCCCATTTTGGCACTATTGGAGTTATCTATATGGGCGTATTCCTGGCAAAATTTGGAAAATTTTGAGTGGTCTTAGAACTTTTTTGGTTAAAAATTCGCTGAGTTACGAAATTTCAAAGTTTAAAACGCCACAAACCTCATTTCGAGAAAAACGGAATTAAAGATTGCGATATCAACTAATTGTTGTATCTCTGGTTCTTCTTGGAAGTTATTCAGATAAGAATTGTTTCCAGTTCAGGGCACTTTGAAGATGTAAAACCAACAGGTTTTAAATTTTTAAAACCATCCCCCCTCTTAATTTTCAAAAATTTCGTACTTAAGTACTAAAAATCGACAATATGGGCCCTTTTCTAAAAAGGAGAATTTTTCTATTAAAAAACCATTTTTTACAAGATTAATGATTAGGTACAATTTTATTGTGTAATTTGAAGAAAAAGAATATATATTAAACTTATTAAAACATTTTTGACAGTCTCTATTATGAAAAAAATGACGCAATATCCAAATTTTCATTTCGAAAAAATTACGAAATTACGAAAAAAAGACTCTAACATCAATATCTCTGGTTCTTTTGGGAAGTTATTCAGATACGAATTTTTTACAGTCCAGGGTACCTAAAAGACTAAAAACCAATAGGTTTTAAATTTTTAAAACCATCCGCCCCCTCTTAATTTTGAAACTACGAAAAACCGACAATATGGGCCCTTTTCTAAAAAGGAGAATTTTTCTATTAAAAAACCATTTTTTACAAGATAAATGATTAGGTACAATTTTATTGTGTCATTTGAAGAAAAAGAATAGATATTACACTTATTAAAATTTTTTTGACAGTCTCTATTATGAAAAAATTGACGCAATATCCAAATTTTCATTTCGAAAATTACAAAAAAAAAGATTCTAACTTCAATATCTCTGGTTCTTCTCGGAAGTTATTCAGATAAGAATTGTTTACAGTCAAGGACACCTTAGAGATGAAAAATCAAGAGGTTTTAAATTTTTCTACACCTCCATTTTTAAAATTCGGATTACTTTTGCAAATGACCGACAAAATGGGTCCTTTTCATTTTTCTAAAGAACCAATGAAATCAAACAGTTAAATTATCGATAAATTAATGAAAACCGCATGATTCGACTTGTAAAAACATGTAGATTGATAATAAAAAATAAAAAAAAAATTAAGAATTTGCTCAAAAATTACTAAATTGCGATTATCTCGAAAACAAGAACCGACAATATGGGCCCTTTTCATGTGGACGTCCACATATTATGAATTATTTAATTTAATTTAAATTATTAAATATTGGTATGCAAAATAATTATATTTATTTGTTCATTGAAATAAATCCAACAGTCAAAAATCAAGTGACTAAAATTAAAGAAATAAGAAAAAAAGAGTTGAATAAAAAAACCGGACAAGTGCGAGTAGAACTCGTACTAAAACCGAGGGTTCCGTACCCACGTTTAAAACTTCTACTTTTTTGCTGAAAAATATAAAGATCAACTTCAATATTTTTCGCTGTATTTTTTCTGTAATCTACAAGTGAAAATAAATAAATAATTAATTTTCATCTCTTCAGGTAAAAAACTGTGGGCGCTATAGTAAAAAACACGCATTTTTGACGAAATTTTTAAAAACTTTGAGTTTTTCGCTAAAAAAAATATGAAGATAAAATCCAATCATGTTCGGTGTTTTTTTACTGAAATCTACACATGAAAATACATAATATAAGCAAAACTGTAGTCCAATAGGCCAAGAATTGTGAAAACCAAGGGGAGGGTACACACTTTTTTTTCTAAAACGAAAAAATTTTTTAGTTTCTCGCAAAAAAAAAAATGAAGATGAACTCTGATAATTTTTTCTGTATGTTTGTTGAAATCTACACGAAAAAATAAATAAAAATGTATAACGCCAGCCCACTAGACTAAGAATTGAGAGAACTAGCATAGGTATAATTATTATCAAAAATTGAAAAAAAAAATTTAGGTTTTCGCTCAAAACGCAATGAAGATCAATTCTAATCATTTCCACTATATTTTTCCTGTAATCTACACGTGAAAATACAAAAGTGTACCAATTTTCAGCTGTCTAGGTAAAAAACTGTGAGCGCTAGGGTGAAATACACGCTTTTTTGACGAAATTTTTAAAAACTTTGAGTTTTTTGCTGAAAAAAATATGAAGATCAAATCCAATCAGGTTCGCTATATTTTTCCTGAAATCTACTAACGAAAATACATAAAATAAGCAAAACTGCAGTCCAATAGGCCAAGAATTGTGAAAACCAAGGGGGGGTACACACTTTTTTTTTTAAAACGAAATTTTTTTTTAGTTTTTTGCCAAAAAAAATATGAAGATGAATTCCAATAATTTTTTCTGTATGTTTGTTGAAATCTGCACGAAAAAACAAATAAAAATGTATAACGCCAGTCCACTAGATTAAGAATTGAGAGAACCAGCAACGGTTAAAGAATTTTCGAGCTTGCAAAAAGAGATTTTAGTTTTTCGATGAAAACACCATGAAAATAAATTTTAATCACTTCCGCTATATTTTTCCTGTAATCTATGCGTAAAAACGAATAAGTATGCCAATTTTCAGCTCTCCAGGTAAAAAATGTAGGCGCCAGGGGGGGGGGTACATGGACTTTTTTCGAAATTTTCAAAATTTTTGACTTTTTCGATAAAAACAGAATGAAGATCAATACTAAATGTGTTCGCTATATTTTTCCTTTAATCCATTTTTGAAAATACATATGCATACCAATTTTCAACTTTCTAGGTAAAAAACTGTGAGTGCTAGGAGGGGGGGGGGGTACATGGTCATTTTTGTAACCGTTCCAATAGGGTTCCTACCGGGTACGGAACCCTAAAAATATACTTATATAAATAAATAATAGAAAAAAAGTTAAAAAGATAAAAATTAAGAAAAATTATTACTAAAAAACCACCTGTTTCCAGACAATTTTCCCACTGTTGTTCGTTTCTTGAACGTACGGCGTACTACCAGGCGGTCTCTCCACGGGCTCAACATCTTGAACAATAGAAAATTTCTCAGTGGGCAAAACGTGAATTCCCAACCAGGCCATGAATAAAAGAGCGCCTCTCGGTCCACAAGCAATCAAATAAGCACCAATCAGAGCCTCAACACAATCGGCAATACTCTTATCCGGAATACTATGTTGAGTGATTAAATTATACGGAATAAAACATCGTAAATTATCCAATTCGCTAGCTGGCTCAATTTCATTACGATCCAATTCGTTTTTCATTATTTCTAATTTATGCTCCGTTTCGCGAACAAGTTGATTTATTTGCATTGGATTGACGGCTTGCAATGTCGGCATATCGGCCTGATTCCACAAAGTTGACGGCACACCCGATTCAATTAAAGCCTGTTCAAGTTCCTTCGGCACATAGTAACACGGTGGCAACCAATTGTCATGCGGCTCAAATTTCGTCGCTATCATACTCTCCCCCAACATTTTCTGCCTTCCCAGTCGATAGAGATTTAAATTACTCACTTGCTTCGAACGCAAATGACTCAATTTACCCTCATGAATATTATCATATGTACAATATAAATACGTTGTTATTGCATATTTCAGAAAAGAATCGCCAATCGTCTCGAGTCTCTCCAAATTAATTCCATCGTTTGCATTCGACATTGTCAGCGCTTGGAGAATTAGACTTGGACTCGGTCCTGAATGTCCATCTAATACCGGTTGATAATCAAAACTAAATAAACTTTTATTTATTTTCAAATGTTCCATTTTCGGAGATTCCTTTCTTTCTCCATTGCCGGTGAATTTTCCAATTGATAAATGTTCCTTGAATCTTATCGCAATTTTTTCCATGTAGTTACTCCATTTTGTTGGTGTATTTTCCTCGACGCGGACATCGGGACAATTTTTTCGCGTTATGGAAATTTCTCTATCGAACGAAATAAAAGAACCATTTTTGAGAATTTCCTCCTCTCGTACTTTTGCAAATTCAAAATGAGCGTTTCTGTGTTTTTCTAGATTCTCATCATTGTCCTCGGAGTCACTCTCGTAAATCCAGGAATTCTCATTGGAATTCTTCTCGCTCTCGAGAAGTTGGATTATTTTTTTATTAATTTCTCGCTTTGATATTTGTTTTTCGTCTTCGACGGCCTCGGCAATGTTTTCGCCCATGTAGGCAATTTTTAATCCTCTACCTCCCTCGTCGTTACTGTCGTCGGACGAGTCACCAAAACCGTCGCTATAAGTCTCGTCGGAATCGTAAGCATCGTCGGATTCATAAGTCGGCGAACCGTAACGAACGTCGTTCCAATTGAAATTCTCCTCTAGAGCCGTGACGTCGAGGGGAAAAGCTTCCTTTGAATTAAAGTCCATCGATAGTATTGCCATATCGTTGGACCATGTTCCAATTTCCAATTCGTTTTCGTTACAAGTGAAAGGATCTTTCTCTTCTTGGGGAATTTCCTTAAATTTTTTTATTGGTTTTGTTTCTAATTTTGGAAGTTTTTCGATTTTTTGTATTATATTATTCGAAACGGAATTCAATTGATTTTTTATTTTTGACTCATTTGCTTTATTCAGTTCTTTGGATTTGCTCAAGACGTCCGCGAGACTCCAGCCAAAGTCCAATGGTTCCCATTTGAAATCTAGAGAAAAACGATGGAAATTAATAATAATATGAAGTTAATACTTAAACTTGAAATAAATTGACATTTATAATCAGAAATTAAATATTTAAGATAAATAATTATTATCTTAAATATTATTTTAACTATACAATTTTACGTATTTACCTGACTTCAAATTTTCTTGACCTAAATTAATCATTTGTGCTACTTGACATCGTATTTGATTAGCTAAGAGTAGTGCATTTATTCTGTAAAGAATGCAAGGTAAACAGACTGCTTGTCGCCAGAGAGATGCTGGGAAAGGATGAATTGCACACAATTCAGGAACGAGAATTTGCTTCTGTTCCAGATTTTCTCGTTTCGCCTTTTTCGTCTCTTCACTACTTGTTGGTAGAGCAACGCCTTTTCGATTCACATACCTGTGAAATTAGTTTTAGAAATCAATAAACATTGTAAGAAAGAATAAATAAAGTTATATTTATTTCATATTATTGCCTTGCAAGTCTTAATTTTATTAATGATAAATAATTTAAATCTTTTTTGGACAGAAAAGAAAAGAAAAAATAATAAATGAAATATTTATTGAATATTATTGCCTTAAAAGTTTCAATTAATGAATAATAATTAATTTTGATCTTTTTGAACAGAAAATAAAAGAAAAAATAATAAATAAAATATTTATTTAATATTATTGCCTTGCAAGAATCAATTACACAGCCACACAAAAAAAAAAAAAGTTCTGATCTGGGGGTCTCACTATGTAGACTTTATGGTTTTTTGTTGAATCTCTCTTATTTTGATTCATGTACAATAAAAGTATATAGCTATACATAAAGATTTTTGTATGAATGTGTTTATACAGATACGTATGAAAATACCCAAAATTGTACGATTAGTCAGTCGAGAGTCAACTCTCTCAATATAATAACACCTCGTGTAACCACTCTGTAATCTCCTCATTTATATCATAGAATAAATTACTTTAATTAGAATAAAGTCTTATTCATTATATTCTACATTTTTGGGTCGCTGAATCCGAATCCGAGGTCCATTTAACCCCATCAGATCAGGATTTTGATATAACCTCAAAAAACCAATATGGCGGACACATTTTTGAAAAGTTCATCGGATTCGCTTGAAATTCGTTACTCGGGGGTTTTTGGGGTCGCTGATTACGAATTTAAAGTCTGATTTCAAAAATTCAAAATGGCGGATCCACTATGGCGGACACGTTTTTGAAAAATTCATCAGATTCGCTTGAAATTCGTTACTCTGGGGTTTTTGGGGTCGCTGATTACGAATCTGATGTCGGTTTTTCAAAATTCAAAATGGCGGATCCAATATGGCTGACACAGAGATATTGGATCCGCCATTTTGAATTTTTGAAATCTGACTTCAAATTCGTAATCAGCGACCCCAAAAACCCCAGAGTAACGAATTTCAAGCGAATCCGATGAATTTTTCAAAAACGTGTCCGCCATAGTGGTTTTTTGAGGTTATGTCAAAATCCTGATCTGGTGAGGTTAAATGGACCTCGGATTCGGATTCAGCGACCCAAAAAACATAAAGTCTACATAGTGAGACCCCAGATCAGAACTTTTTTTTTGTGTGGCTGTGTTAATGATCAATTAATTTTAATCTTTCTGGACATAAAACAATACTCACCTGGGAGTTAGAAAATTAAGTCTAGCAGACGTGTGATCCACGTCTAGCAAAGGTTGTTTCAAATTTTGTATTTGAATATCATATTTTTTTAAATAATATTCCTCGAATGTATTATAATCGGCACCAGGAAACGACGATTTTGGACTTAAATTCGGACATATCTCGGCGACATAAAAATACTGTAAAAAAATTATTCAATTATAATAAATAATAAAATCATTATTTTATATCATAAGAATATTATTACTGCAACTCCATCAAAATTATTCTCAACATTTCAATTCAATTATTATTCTCTATAATTTTTAAATAAAATTCTTCTTTAAATCAATTATTTTCAATAATTTTTGAAAAAGTTCTTCTTAATAATTTTCAAATCCATGTGTTTAGAATTGAATTTTACGTTAAATTTCGATTAATCAGAAATTCTTCCATCAAATATACATTAGAAAATAAAACTTTGAAATTATTTTAAAAAATTTCTAAATATTACAATTATTAATAAATTCTCAAAAATTTAATTATTATTATTCAACTAGCAAAGACATACGCGCGCGTGAATGATTTGAAGAATTATCACGGTAGCAATCTGCCTACATGCTTTCCACAGAAAAAATTTAATAATTTCAATTTATATTCTTGCATGTTTACAATAGTTATGATTTTTTAAAAAATCTCGGTATTTCAACTATATTATCATTTCCACGCCTCCGAAGACATTTAAAAAAATTGCAAGAAGATCGAAGGCGGGGAAAGCAGTGATTTTTATTTTTTGTCACGGATTTTTCAGAAATCCTAAAATATGAAATAAATCAAAATCACTGCCTTCGATCTTCTTGCAAAAATTTTTTTTTTTTTTTTCATTTATTTAAAGTCGCTATAGAACAGCCAGGGGCATAAGCGACCTCTGTGTTATTACATTAGAAACATAATGATACATAAAACAAAATTCAAACTCAAAAGATTTAAATTATAATTTCTGCAAATATTTTAATTTTCATTCTTAATGTTTCTAATAATGGTTGGGGTACAGTTTTTCTAAATCGTATTTTCTAAAATATTTTTTTTCTAATAAAGGTGAATTTCTAAACAATTTTTTTCTAATAAAGCTGATTTTGAAATTTTCTGTCTTCTAATAAAGCTAATTTTCTAAAAATTTATTTTTCTAATAAAGGTAATTTTCAAAATTTTTCTTTTTTCTAACAATATTCTATTTTTGTATAATCACGATCAATAAGTACATATGATTAAAAAATAAAATTTACGAAAATTTGTTAATTCTTTAAAAAAATACTTGATATTTCGTTAAAAAATTATAATAAAATATAGAAATTATGCAAATTACTTAACAAAATTTTTAAATAATCTAGTTAAAAATCGTAATTATTAACAAATTATAGGGATTTTTTCCCTAAAGATATTTAAAATTTTCTAAAAAAAATTTTTATAAATATATTAACTTTGTTTGGAAATTTAAATGTAAAAATGATGCAAATTATTTTTTTTCAAAGAAGAATAGAATTTTGTTAACAAATTGTGATAAGAAATAGTAATTTTATAAAAATTTTTCTTCATTTTCAAAAAGAAACTTATAATTTTGTAAACAGAATTGTAATTGAGAAACAGAAAATTTAATATTTATTTTTAAACAATTTTCTAATTTTTATCAAAATTATGAAATTTTAGAAATTTTAGGAAAATAAACATTAGAAATTATAACTATTTATAAAAACTTTTTTCAGAAAACAGATTTAATTAGAAATCGCCTTTTTAGACAAAAAGGTGTAGAAAATACTTTTTTTTAAAATAGTGTTCGCCTACCCTAATAATTGTTAGTATTCATCCGAAAAATATATTGAATACATTGAAATGTTGATAATTGAAGGAAAGAAATGTTTAATAGAATTTATAAGTATTATTTTTTCTGAAATAAATAAAGTACCCGATTCTGCGTAACCAGAATGGCAAGAGTATCAAAAAATGTAAAAAATGCGGAATTTTTTTTGAAGTTTATTGAATTATCATTTTATAGAAGACTGAATTTACCAAAAGAAATAAAAATTCTAAAGATTTAATTGAAAAACACTATTTTAATCTAAAAAACATACTAAATATTTAAACTTCAAAATTTAAGTGTCTTTAATCAATTTATTTTTGTCAAACAAAAGTGGCAAATAAAATTCAGTTTACTAATTGAATAATATTGTAAAAAAAATTGTTCGATGGTAGAATTTAAACTTTTTTATCAATACCAAGTTTGAGAATTTTATTAAATTTATAAGAATTAACAAAATAATAGAGAATTCTTGAAAAAATTACATGTATTTACCATTTTTAACATCAGTGGAATAGAGGCATGTCTTGATCATTTTTCTTTTATTTGTAAAAAAATTGCTTTGCATCAAGTGGTTATCACACATATGGGAATACTCATAACCAAAATTTCTATCTAAAACTTTAACTAAAATTAATTTTTAAGTCAATTTTTATTAGAAAATTCTACGAGAATTCAATTATTATTTAAATACAAACATAGATAATTTATTGAATAATTGAATGTTTCTTAAATTTCAATTCCTATGCATACTTTTATCAATAATTTGAATTCTTTCAACTAATTTTAATAACATTTTTAAGAATAATAGAATTATTCTTTTGTGGAATTTGATTAAAATTGTATTAAAAATAATTGAAATTCTGCAATGAGTTTTATTACTTATGAAAATAATTAAATTATTGCGAAGAATTTTATAAAAAAGTTTGAAAGTTTTTTCTTTCGAAAAAATTCATGCAAATTCTATTTTTAATAATTGAATTTCTGTGAAATTTTCATTATTTTAGAAAATAAATGAATATTCGTGTAGAATTTTGTCAAACTTGTTTTTAAATAAATTCTTTTGGGAAATTTTATTATAAAATAATAGATATACCTAGCTACAAATTATTGAACTAAGAAAATTTTTTGAAATTATTGAAATTTCGCAATGAATTTTATTAAAATTCTTGAAAATAGTTGAATTTTATTACTTTTGGAAATACCTTATTGAATTCTTGTAAGGAATATTTTTATTTATGAAAATAATTGACTTTCTCCGAATGATTTTATTATTTATGAAAATGAAAGTAATTCTGAAAGGAATTTTAAAATTTATGAAAATACATAATTGAATTACTGCGAAGACTTGAATGCCAAATTTTAAAACATTTGATTTTTTTCGAAAAAATGTATGCAAATTCTATTTTAAATAATTGAATTCCTGTGCAATTTTTGTTTTTTTGGAAAATAATTGAATGTTCGTGTAGAATTTTATCAAAATTTTTGTTTAATAATATTAAATAAATATTAAATAATATTAAAATAGTAGAATATTGAAAATCATTGAATTAAGAAAAAATTTTGAAAATAATTGAAATTTTGCCATGAATTTTATTTAACTTTTTTAAAATAATTGAATTTTATTAGTTTTGAAAATTATTGAATTCTTGTGATGAATACTAGTTATTATTCAGGAAAACAATTGAATTTTGCAATGAATTTTATTAAAATACCCAAAAATAATTGAATTTTGTCGAAGAATTTTGGTATTCATTTATAAAGATAAATTGTAATATTAACGACAATTTTTTTTAGATTTTTTAAAAATAATTGAACTTTGTCGAAAAATTTTATTAATTTTGAAAATAATTGAATTCTTATGATGAATATTGTTATTTATAAAAATAATTGAATTTTGCAATGAATTTTATAAAAATTCCTAAATATAATTGAGTTTCGGCGAAGAATTTTGCGATTTATAAAGATGATTGAAATGTTGATGAGAATTTTTTTTTAATTTTGGAAAATAATCTAATTTCTGGAAAAAATTTTGATATTTATTGAGGTAGTTGAATTCTTTCAAAGAATTGCGTTAAAATTTTTAAAATTGAAACTAATTTCAACAGAATGGAAACTAAAATTTTTCAAAACTTTATAGCAGTTCTTCAATAGAATTAAGTTATTTAAAATAAATTATTGTTAGAAGTAGAAAAAATTGAAGGTTTTTTTAGAATTCGTTGTAATTTTATAGTTTATGAGGTAAACAGTAAAGACACAAAAATTCAGAATTTTCTTATACATTCTAAAAATTTAATTTTTTCCAGTACTTTTTTTTCCCTGATTTCCCTCACCAATTCTACTTTCCCTGACTTTTCCCTGAATTCCCTGACCTGTGGCAACCCTGATTTTCCATGTTTTGAGCATTTGAAGCTTTGATTTTTCGAGGTTTTGAATTTTCGGGGTTTTTAATTTTTTATATTATGTAATAAAATTTGAATAATATTTAACGAAATAATAACGTAAATTAAACTTAACGTTATTGAGAAAAGTGATAATTTTTTTAGTTAATACCTGTGGCTGGTCTTTATTTCTATACCAAGGCATTATCACTGCATCATGATATTTAGTCGCGTCAAATTTAAAGTCTTTTCTTTCCTCCTCTGGCATTTGTCGAGGGAGCATTTCTCGATTTTGATAAATACTATCGAGAAATTCCCAATTAACTACAATATCCTGATCATTTGTTCCTGAAACTGAAATAATAAAGGGAAAAAAAAGCATTATTTATTTTCATTACAGAGATTTGTTATTTTATCCAAGCAGTTGAATTATTTATATAATTGAATTGAATAATTGGAAAAAAATATTGATACAAAAAAATATTAAATATTGAAAATAATAAGTAAAATTGAAAAAAAATATAAAACCGCTGCCAAGTTAAAAGATGAATATATATTGTGTTCATTTCATGAACACAATATATTGAAATTTGAAAAATTTTGGTATTACAATACTTCCTCATGAGGAAGCAATAATTGAAAAAAGAAAAATAAGAAAAGTTTTAGTGAAAAATGATAGCCTAAATATTTGAAAAAGGTTTATAAAAGGAAGGCATTAAGTACTTACTCTTTTTTACAGGGACAATGATATAAGAATTCTCTGAAGCATTCAGATCAAAGAGCATTAAATACTTTTGGAGTCTTAATACATTTGTAAATGTGTAATTAAGAAATGTTGCCATTCTATCGATTTGATTTTCATCTAAGATCACAGTTTGCTTGCTAAGCGTAAGTGTTACGTGCACTTCCCCCGATCGTGTATAAATTGGAAAAGGACACAGCTGCAAATTAACAATTTTACATTAGAAATTCACATAATTTGAAGTAAATACTTTTACGTAAAATTAATAATTAATAAAAGTAAATAATTACTTTAGGAATTTTCTTAAGGGTCAGAATACCAAATCCTATATCGGCATCTTCAGGTGGATAAATTTTTCGTCCCCTCGTATTTTGCTCCTCGGGCAAAGGGCAACTTAGAACCATATTAATATGATACAAAAAAGCAGGTTTACTAATCACTGGTCGACAGTCCGTCAAAGCTTCAGCAGTCTGAAAAGAACAAAATTTAATGCATAAAAGAATTTAACGATTAATAGGTATAAATTAATGAAAAAATAATATAAAAATGATTTAAAGAAAAAGAAATTTAATTTATATAATTAAAAGGCCTAAATAAGGCAAAATAAATTTATATGAAATCTAAAGATATTAACAAGAAAAATATATATTTTATTATTAAAAAGAAAATTTTGAGATCTTTTTGTAACAACAACAACAATTACCTTTTTGTAATAATATTGTCTACGCTTTGTCGTTCCAGGTCGAGCTTCTGAAAAATCAGCTCTACTTTCGTCTGGTAATGCTGGAACTTCAGCATCTTCGGGCTTGGCTTTAAAATTCTCCTTGCCAATTGGTAAAAGATTGTCGTCGATTTCATTTTTTCTATGCAGTTCAACACACAATTGCAAAGCAGCCATCCTTCGAGCCATTGCTCTATTCGGCATTGGATAGGACTATAAATGAAAAAAAGGCGAAACTATCAATTAATTATGTTAACAAAAATATCCAATCATTCGTGTCAAAAATGTGAGATAAATAATTACAGAAACAACGTATTTCACTGGAGAATTGATTGGCAGACGCAAGGAACAAATATACATCGGTTTCTCATGAATCTCAACCATTTCCATATTCCACTCTGGAGTGAGTCTTGTAAAAGTGTCACTCGGTAATTTTGCACAATATCTGAGAAATAAAAATTATTTACTATAGTTATTATCAGTTATTTATACAAATTTAAATTTTAAATATTGTTATTTAATAACTTAAACTCGGAAAATATTTAAGAATTTAGTTTCAAAATATAGGGAAAAAATCTTATTTACCGATTTACTAAAGAAATGGCTGAATTGAAAGAAACTTTAGCCGAATCATCCTCTTCCAGGGGTTTGTAATGTGGAATGATGTCAGTGTATTTATCAGCCTCAAATTCTTCATTTTCAGTCGGTTCCTTATTTGAGCACTTAAGTAATAAAATCTGCAAAATGATTTAAAAAAAAGTATTTGATAATTATCTATAATCATCATAATCTTGGTATTTGATCTTTTAAATTAAAAACTAAAAATTGAGTTCTTAATACCTTTTCAATATAATGATATTGAGCGAGTTGCCACACAGATTCCTTTGTTTCATCTCGTGACACTAGAAGAATATGTAAGGCGTCCACAGCCCTCGCTCTACTTTTGCACTGTACGTACGATTGATAATTCTTTGGAAAATTGTATCTCAAGACGAGATTACATTTTGGAATGTCGATTCCTTAAATGATAAATTTACACAATCAGTAATTAAACATTAAGAACAGAGTTAAATAATTAAATTAATCAATTTTACTATAAACAAGCCTCGGTTCTACTTTAAGACACAAAAAAAGTCGTTTTAGTCGATTAAAAATACAAAAAAAGTAGAAAAATATAAATGACAAACCTTCTTCTAAAATTGAAGTTGCTATGAGTAAATTACATTCGTGAATTCGAAAACGTTTTAAAACCTCCTCCTGCTTTTTGTGCTCCATTGCTACATCACGTGAATAACTCATATCCTCGTTTGACTTTTCGCTCGTGTAAAGTGGCGATAAAAATTGTAAATCCTCATCGTGTTTACTAACTTCCTACAAAAAAAAATTATTCAATTATAAAAAAAAATCCAAATTCAATGTATTTATATCAATGGAAAATTTAATGGATTTTTAAAACTAACATTTAAAAGGTAAAATAAAATCTTCGCTGTAAATCCATTATTGACAAAAATAATTCCACAAAGTAAATCTGGATCTGTAATTCCACGCATAAATCTCGACGATTTAATCGGTTTTCTATAACCGTCTTCATTTGGTCTCCAATTATTTCCACATTTTCTCCCCTGATACGCTTCTTTCTGATTTGAATTTGTTTCATTTGCTACATTTTTCTTCACGTCTGCAGCCTTTACATCTACAATAATTATAATAATAATATAATGTAAAATTCATCCTAATAATATTAGGATATTTTTTATAATAACATTATTATTATTATTATTATTATTATTATTATTATTATTATTATACAATAATGCATTAAAGTATTATTGTAATAAATAAAACATTATAAAATATAACATTATCTATTAATATACTGTATTATATTTTCTATTTATTATATTATTTATTATTAAATAATTATTTTTCAATAAAAATTATTTGATTATAGTACCATCGTTTTTTTTATCTTCAGACTTTGTCTCTTTATTTTGAACGGGTGTGTAAGTTTTCAAAACTTTCAGCAACCGGTGTGCTTTTGGTGTTGAAAATTTGTAAATTCTTTCCTTTTCACTGAACGACTCAAAAATATAGTCACAATGTGCTCTGGAAATTTGCAAAAATAAATTGTAAATTAATGTTAATAGCAGGCTTTGCACTCGTTAATTAATTTTAAAAAGTTGCAAAAAGTAACTATTAGAAAACTGAAAAAACTCGATTTAATCGATTCTATGTACAAAAATGCAACTTATTTTATTTAAATTCAAATATTAGATATTATAAAATAAAAAATAATTTTATTTTATTCAGGGTTATCAGAAAAATTCGAACGTGTATTTCTCTAATTCCAAAAATAATATTAACTTTCTTCCTTATTCTGGTAATAATTTCAATTCTAAATTTTTTGAAAATTCAATTATTTTCCAAATTTTTAGTTAGAATTTATCAAAAAAATTTTCAAAATGTCTTTATGTATTTTTATATTAAAAAATAATTTTTAAAAGCAAGAAAAAAAAACTCTTTATAATAAGAGATTAAAATAAAATTTAGTTCAATAAAATTGGACAAAATTACGAATTGTTTCAATTTTTTAAAACTATTTTAAAAAATTAATTATCTTCGAAAAAAATTTAACTACAATTTATCAGAAACCTAATCTTTTTAAGAGTTTTTAAATATTTTTATTTAGAAAAAATATTTCTAAATATATTATTCAAAGCTCAATTTATTCCATTATTAAATAAATAATTTAAATGCTTATTGTAAATATAATTATAAATATTACATTATTTATGAAAATAATTGAATTATTGCTAAGAATTTTAATAAATATAATTTATAATTATTATAAATAATCTATATTAATAATCGTTGTATTCCGATAATCTGTGGGTAATCTGTTCGCAGTTTAAAGTTAGTTGTTGTTTGCTTTTTTGTTTCCCAACTTTTTTAATAATTTTTTTTCTTATCGAATATTTTCATGTTCAATTAATTTTTATGTGAAAGTTAAAATATAAATGAAAATCTGTTGGACTGAGTTTGTGGATAAGATTGAAAACAGTTAGTTAACTAATAAAAGAATTTATTAGTAGATTTAGCAAGGTGTTCCCTTCTAACGAAGGGCACATTCAATACTGAACAAATAGTAGTTTTCAGTTAGTAGATGAGTGCAAAGCTTGTTAAATAAAGGATTTAAATTATTATACATACGTACCTCATTTTTATAAATAATGATTCCACCATATTAAAGAGAAGGTAATGCCTTTCGTAAGGAGTTTTAACTTTCAATTTCTCACTCAACATGATAAGTGCAAGTGCCGCACGATCTGCACACCAAGGTCCAAGTGTTCTAAGAATATATAAAAAATCTCCTATCATTTCGCAGGGTTTTTGTGTGGGATCGGGAATTTTTTGAATGTCTTCGAGGAATTCGTCGGTATAAATTTCTGTTGGATCGTAACGATGATCCTTCAAAAAATTTAAAGCTTCATTGGCATATGTTTCTAAAGTCTCGTACAAATCACACTTGACGCCTTCGTCATATTCTATCATTAACTCCTTTGGTTTCGGACTATAACTGAAAAACAAACATTTCATTAGAATTAGAGTTTCTTTATTTTGTCCCAGAAAACCCATGAGAACAAGCAGTGAAAATCTATAAATATAAATTATCATTGCAGTTAAATTAAACTAAAAATCTAATTCAAAGCGTGTAAAAAGAAATTATATTTGAAAAAATGTTACTGAATTATTGTATAAAAATGTAAATAGTTCTGAATTTGTAATAAAAATATAATTTTTAGAAAATTTTTGTTACCGAAGTATTGATATGATATCGCTTGCTGTTTCAATGTCACATTGAAAAAGAGCTTCAATTTTTTCTATTTCACGACCAATTCGGCCAGGAACTGTAGTCAGATTAAATAAAGGCACAGCAAGCCCGATGATTCGGGGCACATCGTTGCTGGATAAAAAGTATCGCAATATAAAATCGAGTTTGCTTCTTTCGTCAGTTTTATGGCACTGATCAACTACAACTAAATTTATTTCATTTGGCAATATTTTCTTTTCTTCTATTAATTGTGCGCATGTTTCGAGCGTTGTTACTATTACCTATAAAAAAATTGTCTCTCTTTAATTAAAATCATAATTTTAATATTATTTATATTATTATTAATAAAACGTTAAATTATCCATAAGTTTTGAACGTTTAAATGAACAAAATATTTATTTAAATTAACAATATTATTGATCGTTACCAGGTATACTACAAATATTTTCATAAATTACTGATTTGCCATCAAAATTAAAAACATATTTTAAAATAAGAAACTATCAGGCTGCGCACTCGATAATTACGTTTAAAAAAGTCCCAAAAAGTATACTGTAAAAAACTTCGGAATTTTTTCCGATAAAAAACTAGGATATTTTTCCGAAATTAGGTGGAAATTACGGTTTTCCGAATATTTAGTAGAAAATATTTCCGAAATCAGTAGGAGAAATACTTTTTCCACAGAAAAATGGAAATTTTTCCTCAATATTCGGAAAATTTTCCGAAAATGATGGATTTTTTCCAATATTTGTCGGAAATATTTCCGAGGAAAGATGGAAAAATATTTCTTCCACAGTAAAACGGAAATTATTCCTCAATATTCGGAGAATTTTCCGGGCCTTACGGATTTCTTTCCAATATTTATAGGAAATATTTCCGAGGAAAGTAGGAAAAATATTTCTTCCACAGTAAAACTATATATAAAGTATATCAATAAATTATTTTTTTCACATTTAATTTATAATTATTAGATAACGTTTTTTTCACTAATTACTAAAGAAAAAAATTCCGATATGTGTATTTATATATACTACTCTTTAAATCTAAAAAAGTGAAAATTCACTTAGAATACATCAAAAGTATTCCACGTAAGATAATAAGTATGTATATACCTATATATATATTTAAAAATAAATGAAAAATCATTTATAAATAAGTCTACATACACATACTTTTTTGCGTGAAAGACTTTTGACGTAACTTTTCTAAGCGAATTTTCACTTACTTAAATTTAAAGAGTAATAATTAGTTTATTTTTACTGATTTAAATTTAAAAACTGATAAATTAGAAAAATAATTTTTCTACAAAATTGTGTCTGTGTATGCAGTAAGTAGTTCAGGCTTCGCACTCCATTATGAGTTTAAAAAAAGTAGGAAAAAGTAGCCCCGATGACAAAAAAAAGTAGGAAATAGTAGCCTCGATGACAAAAAAAAAGTAGGAAATAGTAGCCTCGATGACAAAAAAAAAAGTAGGAAATAGTAGCCTCGGTGACAAAAAAAAAGTAGGAAATAGTAGCCTCGGTGACAAAAAAAAGTAGTATACATATATTCCAGGGTGTCTACTAACCGGGAAAAACCGGGAATAAGTCAGAAATTATATTCTAAACCAGGAATTTTCTCACCAAATTAGAAAAAGTTTAATTATTTTAATTTGTATTTAAAAAATCGCATTTTATTTCAATTTTCATAGATATTTATACTGTTCTCTAAATTTAAATTAGTTAAAAATAATTAATTTAATAGTAAAAAATCAGTCACTGATTTAAATATATAGTATGTAAATAAATAAATTACAAAAAAATTATCGAATTAATAGAAATTTCGAAAAATTTAACTGAAAATAATAAAAATTAAAGAATTTCATTGAAAACTTTTTAACAAATCGAGTTTTCAAAATATTTTAACTTATAATTGATAAATATAATAAAATTTTATAAGGAGTCACATTCTAATATATTCACGTTTCCTAGTGCGAAAATTAATAATTAACATTTTTATTTGTTATTTTAAAAAAAGATACACACTTCAAATTTTTTAATAAAATTGAATTTTCGCAAACTTTTTATGAAAATTTTTAAAAATAAGATTCTTTAAATTTTTCAATTCTGTTGTTTCAAGATAATTGAATTTTTATAAACAAATAATTGAAAATTTTTGATATAATTGAAATTTCTTTACATTCTATTAAAAATAATTTACTTCTTTTAAAGAATTTTATTTAAATTTTTCGAAAATAATCAAGGAAAGTTAATCACCGTAATTATAATTTTATTTTTAAAATTTTTTTGCAATACATTCAATTATTTTCACAAATAGTAAAACTCGAAAAATGTAATTATTCTTAAGAATTTTATTAAAATTCGTCGATAGAATTCAATTATTTCTAGAAACTGTACAAAAATTCTTCTCAAGAATTCAATTATTTCCATAAATAGCAAAATTCTTCAGATTTACTAAATTCTTTTGAATATTATTTTTGAAAAATATTCTTCACAAGAATTCAACTATTTTTATAAATTTACATAAAATTCTAAAAAACAATTCAATGATTTTCAAAAGTAATAAAATTCTTCATAGAAATTCAATTATTTTTAATAAATCGAAAAAAAACTGTCAACATTTTAATTAATTATCTTTATAAATAAATAGCAAAATTCTTTGACAAAATTAAATTATTTTCAGGAATTTTAATAAAATTCATTGTAAAAGTTCCATTATTTCCATAAATAACAAGAATTCAATAATTTTCAAAAATTTTTCTTAATTCAATAATTTGTATGTCTACTATTTTTTAATAAAATTTCCAAAAAGAATTCAATTATTAAAAAACAAATTATTTAAAAACAATTTTGACAAAATTCTACACGAATATTCAATTATTTTCTAAAAGAATGAAAATTTCATAGGAATTGAATTATGTATTAAAAATTGAGTTTATCTAATTTTTTTTTAAAAATCAATTATTTGAAACTTTTTTATAAAATCCTCGCAATAATTCAATTATTTCCATAAATAATAAAACTCATTGCAGAAATTCAATTATTTTTAATACGATTCTCATGAAATTCCTTGAAAAATGTAATTATTCTTAAAAATTTGATTAAAATTTGTCGAAAGAATTCAATTAATACAATTATTTACATAAATAGCAAAATTCTTCAGATATACTAAATTCTTTTGAATATTAGTTTTGAAAAATATTCTTCACAAGAATTCAATTATTTATTTATTTATTTAAGTACCTAGTAAATGGAACTATACCCGTTTATTTATTTATTTCATAAATTTCCATAAAATTAATTAAATTAAATTGTTCTCCACAATTCAATTTTTTTCAAAAATTTTAATAAAATTCTACGCAAACATTTAATTATTTTCATAAATATATAATAACATTCTTTGGAAGGATTCAACTACTTTTATAAATAGTAAAATTCTTTGCAGAAATTCAATTAGTATCAATAAATTTTAATGAAAATGAATTAATCAAATTTTCAATTATAATTATGAACAGACAAGATTTTTTTTTAAATTGAAAAAATTCTTTGTTTAATTCAATTATTTTCCAAATTTTTAATTAAAATTATTAAAAAAATTTAAAGAAACTCCTCAAAACAATTTAATTATTCATAGAAAGTCTAATTTATAATCAGTCACTATTGATAGAGTAAATGTCGGTAAAATTATTCCCTAATATCTTATTGACGGTCGTTTTTCATTAACGATTTTAGTTTTTAACACTGTTTTTAAATGGAAATTTGAAAACTAAAAATCTAAATTTGACTATTTGTTGAGAAAAGTAGCTTTTAGTAGCATTAGGCTCAAAAAAGTAGCCAAAAAGTAGCCTCGTATCAAAAAAGTAGCAAATAGTAGCTTTTAGTAGAAGAGTACGAAGCCTGTGTACCTCATAAAATTTTTCTAGGGAACACTAGCAACAAGTTCATGCAAAAGAAATTCGTCCGTTTTACCTTTTAACAAAAAAAACTAAGGTTTTTGGTGAAAGATACATATTCCGTTTACATTTACCCCAATTGACCCTACAATATAAAATTTATTTCAATTAAATTTGACAAAATCTTAAATTAATCATAAATTTAACTAACTTCAAAAAATTTTAATTACAATTTTTCAAATATCTAATTTTTTCATAATTTCTAAGTTAAAATATTCAAAACTGGAATAATTATTAATATTCATAATAATTTCAATGTAAAATCTTTTTGAAATTTAATTCTTACTAAAAATTACAATTGTGATTCTAATAAATTCTAATTGTGATTTAAATAAAATTATTCAAAACTTTAATAATTCTTCTTAGAAAATAAAAAATATTGAATTGAATATTTAAATAAAGTTTTTAAGATTAATTGCATTTTTGAAGAAATCATTTTAAATTGTAGAGGTAAAAATAATTGAAATCCTTCGATGAGTTTTATTATTTATGAAAATAGTTGAATTATTACAACGAATTTAATTAAAATTTTTAATAATAATTGAATTCCTGAGAAAAATTTTAATTATTTTAAATAATTGAATTCTCACGAAGAATTCTATTAAAATTATTGAAAATAAGTGAATTTTTATAAACAAATTTTATCAAAATTTTATTAAAATTGGATTGTAAATAATTGAATTTCTGTAAAAACTTTATTATGTATGAAAATAATTGGAGTTTTTGCAAAGAATTTTATTAACATTTGAGAATAATTAAATCGTTTCAAAGAATTTCATCAAAAATTTTTGAAGTGATTCTAAGGATTTTATTAAAATTTTTGAGAATTATTTTTTACATTCTCATCATATGAGAAAGTATTAGTTTTTTATTTCAATTATTAGCGGATTTATTTAAACGAAAGAAAAAAGTAACTTTTAGTATCAGAAATCTAAAAAAGTAACCAAATAGTAGCAAATCGTAAAAAAAAGTAGTAAACAGTAGGTTTTAGTACTTGAGTGCGGAGCCTGAACTATGATTAATTTTGCTTCCTCATGAGAAAGCTTTGTATTTTTGATAATGACGCAAAATAATTATGGTATAAATTTAATTTGAAGAAGAAATAAAAAAAGTTCGTTCACTTGAATTTTGTTTTTAAATATAATTAATTAATTAGAGTAATACCTGAACATTAGAAAATTGTTCTTTAAAATCTGGTTTTACTCCAGAATCACAAATGATTACTTTCAAGTCTGTTAATTGGCGGACGTAAGTTGCTTTTATCAAACATTTTTCTTTATCCCTTAAAACATAAATTGATCGTTTTCCACCTTCGGAAAATAATCTACAAATAAAAAATACAAGTTTTTATGTAAATACAAAAGGACAATAGATTTATTCTCTATATTGAAATAATTAATTGGTGGAATTATTGTTATATTTTACTCACCTTCGAGTACTATTGGAAAGTTCTTGAATCAATTTTATTATAATAAAAGTTTGCTCTGAACTTTTACCTAAGCAAACAATTATATTTTTTACCTTGCCTGTGTAAAGAAGTTCCACCTAAAATCAATTAACCAAAAATTAATGAAATTGTTGTCTATAAATCACCCTTTAATAACAATAAATTGTTTACTTGTTTTTTGTTTATTTGTAAAATTGTGGTCTCTGTTTTTCTAAATTAATGCGATAATTAAACTGTAAAAATTCTTCACGATCATTCATATTTTACGATTTATCAAATTTACATTTTTCTAATAACATTAGTGTTTTCAAAACATACCTGATACTCTCGGGGAGTAAAAGACTTGGTGTAAACTTGATCATTTTGAAAAATTGCCATGGAAACTGTAGTAAAAATCTATTATTTTACGAATTCTTATATTTATTATTAAAGTTACTAAAAATCACTGTATAAGAACCACTTGTTAAATCTGTCAAATGCATTTGTCAATAAATGCACCTGTCAAATTGTACAAGAATTTTAGGTTAAGTAATTTAAATGATGATGACTTTAAATTCCATGCACAGGGCATGCGTTGGCTAATACAAATTAGTGATGGGATATCGAAAAAATTTGATATCGATATTACGCTTATCGATATTGCATCTGTAATATCGATATTTAAAAATATATCGTTATCGAAAATAAATATCGATATATCGTAAAAACGATATCGCGCATGCGCAGAACTCTAAGAAATTTTTGAATGTGTATTTGATATTATTAATAATTATTTATTTAATATTATTTTTCAATAAATATAAAGAACGTAAATAAATTAAGTCACTTTCTTTTTAAAGAAAAAAATAAAAAAATTTTAGAATAGGAAAATAAGGTTTTTATATTAATGTATATTTTATAGATATAATATATAAAGAAAACGTTTAATTATTAATTAATGAACATAGAAAATTTAATTTAAGTATATAAAGACTGTTTATTTGTAATAACCGAAATAAATAAAAACAAACTTTATATTTTTATGTAAACAAAATGATGACCTTTAATGCTTTAAAAATGACAGCTTTCAATAAAACTTTCGAACTTGCATATATTCAAAGAACAGGGATAACAATCATAACCTCAAAATTTACATTATTTTTACCACATAAAGGCCAACGCAGAATAGATCTTTAACCGGAACCGTAATCGTAACCGAAAGCATAGAATGGGTTAGAGAAGGATAAACAATATACCTTTCCTTCTTTAACTTATTCTAACCGTTACGCTTACGATTATTAAAGATTTTATTCTGCGTTGGCCTAAAAATCAATGTAAAAAATGGTTTAAAAGTTTTGTTTACGTTATAAATATTTTATAATATAAGAGTTTTATAATTAGGTACTTATATTTAGTACTTCTTAATAGTTACTTAATTTCTTAATTAAAAAAAAACTCAAAACGTGTGACACATCGTGTGGTCGTTACGCGGTTGCGCGCTAGAATTATCGATATTAAAAATTTTATCGATAACGGTAACGATATATCAAAACGTTAATATCGATATTAAAATATCGATTATCGTGACATAGATATCGATATGTTCCGATATTTAATATCGATATCCCATCACTAATACAAATGTATATCACGCCATTACCAGGTGTTGTGAGTTGGTGTTAAAGTTATGTGTGTTACAGATGTTTACGTAGTTTAAATTCGGAACGTTTATTAGGCGGGAAGATCAAATATAGGAAATTGTTAAATCTTTAAATTTGTAATTTAGCTTCATTTAAGAAGTCAAAAAGATGAGAAAGTATATTTGGCGATGGGTCTGTTAGAAGAATTTCGCTAGAAAAGGGTGCTATACATTTAAGGGTTTTCGAAAGGCGTGTTATCAATTTTGGGCGTATATTATCAAATCTAGGGCAGTTCCAGAGGACGTGTTCTAAATCTTCATTTAATTGGCGATTGCAGGAGCAGATAGGAGATTGTATTATGTTTTTTCTATAGAGACTTTCTTTTAGAGAATGGTGATTGCTTCGCATACGACATATTGTCACAATCCATTCTCTTTTAATATTTAATGATGCAAACCAAGGTTTTTTACGGAAACAGTAAAATTTTTCAGTATAATGTACTCCAAAAGAGCGACCTCTAGTGAGATAGTATTCATCACTTTTTTTATTAAGGCATTCTTTAAATGTAGATGCAAAGTCTGTATGAGGAAGACCAAAATTTAAAGGTGGAGCATTTACTGATGCAAGTTTTGCAGCTTCATCAGCAATTTCGTTTCCCTCCAGGCCTAAATGAGCCGGGATCCAAACAAGAGAAATATCGTAATTAAAATTTCTTAAGGTAGATAATCGGTTCCTAATCATATATATAATATACGATTTGATGTGGTTAGGATTGGGGGTAGAGATGCTTTTTAATACACTTAGAGCATCAGAAAATATTGCAACTTTTCTGTAATTATTTTTAACAATATAATCAAGGGTTAGGAGAATGGCCAGTGCTTCTGCAGTAAATATAGACGCTGTATCTTTAATTTTCCAAGATTGTAAAGACTCTTTCGAGGGGCAAACTGAAGCACAACCTACACTTCTTTCACTTAATGATTTTGAGCCGTCTGTGTAGAAACATAAGTATTCTTTAAAATCATTGTTTATTATATCTTTAAATAATAAAGAGGGGTTAACAGAATTTTTAACAGTAGGACCAATATTAAATTCGATTTGCGGAATAAATAGATGGTCGTTATACGAGAATTCATAATAAGGATGTAGGTATGCTTTTTGTAAATGTTGTATATGTGGAAATATTGATAGATAGGATGATAGCAGTATGAAGGTATCTAGAGCTCTGTAAGGATTTTTTGGAGAAGCCAATCTTTCTAATTCTTTTAAGTTGTTTGGTAAGGGGTGTCTAAGATCTGAAAAAGTTTTCATTAAATATCTTTTAGTTAAAAAGTAGAATCTTGGTTTAAAAAGTGGTTCACAAGATTCAGCGAGCATGACGTTAATTGGTGTGCTCATTCTATAGCCTAAAGCTAGTCTAATGGCACTATTTCTTAATTTCTCAAGTTTACTAAATAATTTTTCATTTTTAAAACAAAAAATAAGACAACCATATTCTATGCAACTTCTGATTAATGCTCTGTATATTGTGAGGAGAATGTAAGGATGTGCACCCCACCATGTGCCTCTCAAAAATTTAATTATATTTAATGTTTTATTCAGTTTTTTTAGAAGGGAGGCAAAATGATGATCAAAAGAGAGCTTATAATCGAAGGTAATTCCTAAAAATTTTGTATGAGTGGATGGATAAATGTTAAATTCATTTATTTTTAAGAAAAGATTAGGATCATTAATATTTATTTTTAATTTATTAAAGAGGATTAATTTAGTTTTCTGTGGGCAAATATATAATCCTCTGTTAGACAGATACTCCGAGAGAATATTTAAACAATTTTGAAGAACTTCTATACATTTTTTTTCGTCTTTGTTTCTATAGGATATTGCGATGTCATCAGCGAATTCAATCATTTTACATTCAGGAGGAATGATAGAATGAAGTTTCCGAGTATAAATGGAATATAAGGATGGACTTAGAATACATCCTTGCGGAAGTCCCACTGTACTGATCCTAGGACCAATAATTTCTCCATTAATATTGAAAAATATATTTTTGCAGGCTGTTGCATTATATATAAATTTGGTGATGGAAAGAGGAATTCCTATATCTCTTAGGTCTTCAGCCAGAATTTGAGGAATAACACTGGGAAAGGCCCCTTTTAAATCTAAAAATAGAACAGAAGTGACTTCTTTTTTAACAAAACCTGTCCAAATTTCTGTCGTTATAAGGGAAAGATTGTCAGCACAAGATTTACCTTTGCGGAAGCCAAATTGTGTTGGGGATAAAAGAAGATTATTTTCAAGAAACCAACTGAGTCTGTTGTGTATTAATTTTTCCATCAATTTTAGCATGCACGAGGCAAGAGCGATAGGTCGGAATGAACCTGGGGATGATTTAGGAATGAAAAAGATTAGAAAGTTATTCCAGGAGGGTGGAAATGTACCTGAAGAGATAATTTGGTTGAATATATCCAGTAAAATTATTTTTGTTTCTTTGGGGAGTCTTTTAATTATTTCATTATTAATTTTGTCTAAGCCGGGAGATGTATTAGTTTTTAGAGATGAAATAGCAATGTCTAATTCGTTGGCATTAAAAGGTGTTTCGAAAAAGTTGTTCGTTTGGAAATTATCAGGAAAAGAATCAAAAAAGGTTGTTGGAGGACACATTTCTTTTGCCAAATCTTCAAGGTTTAAAATAGTTTCCGTATCTGCTGAACAGGATCCTGTTGTAGGTTGGGAAAATCTATTTTTAAAAGCTTTGACTGTTCTCCAAACTCTGGAGATTGGAGTAGTCCTATTTAAATTGTTACAAAATTCATGAAAAGATTCTTTCCTGGCTTTAATGAAAGTACGTTTGGCTATAGCCTCGCATTTTTTATATTGTTCATAATTTTCGTAATTAGATTGTTTTCTAAATTTTAAAGCAGCATTTTTTCTATCTTGGACAACTTTATCACACTCTTTATTCCACCATGGAGCAGGAATAAAGGTTTTTTTATTCGAAACAGATTTGCGTTCTGAATCTTTATTTTGGGGAGTGTTAGGCGTTGCTAAATTTATTGCTTGATCTACGCATTGCACAAAAAGATTATATTTATCTATAGGTTTTAATGTTTGAGAGTGAAATTTATCAAGGTTTGAAGTGAAAGAGTTTTTTAAGTTAGAGTCAAATAGAATCCAGTCAATTTTTTTCAGATTGTATTTATGTGTAGAAAATTTGGAAATGGGAACTTGAATGCCTAAACTTGTAATCACTGGGTAGTGGTCACTTCCTAAAGGATCATCTCTGACTTCTTGTGAACTAATTGTATATAAATTAGAACTAATGAAAGTGAGATCTAAGATGGAAGGATTTTCATTAGGTCTGTTGACAAGGGTTGACTTCCCATTATTTAAGCAAATAACATCAGCGTCAATCAGGGCTTCGTAGAGAGATTCGCCATTCCTGCAATATCTGTTACTGCCCCAAAGGTAGTGATGTGCATTAAAGTCACCACCAATAAATGTATGATTTGAATTCACTCTGGATACTGAATCGAAGAAGTCTCTCCATGAGTCTTCTGAAATAATATTGTCATTAGAGGGGACTCTGTAAACAGAGACAATTAACAATTCGCCTAAAGAAGAGTTTATAGAAATAGAGAGAGTCTCTAAACAATTTTCTATATTGGTGATAGTGGAGATTCTAGTGAAATTAATCCCTTTCCTAATCGCGATGGCAAGACCTCCGCGATTAAGATTGGGTCTATCAGCTCTAATGAAATTGAAATTTGATCCTAAAGAAAAGAAATTATTAGGTTTTAAAAAGGTTTCTGATAGTAATAGAATGTCGAAATCTTTGGAGAGTGTTAGAATGTCGGGTTTTTTGTTTAAAATACCTCGACAGTTCCATTGTATGATTCTGAGATTATTAATATTAGCCATTTTG